ATTTTCTAGTTCCATGGCCTCTTCTAAATTCAGCTTGTATAGCCATTCTCTGGCAATGTACTCTTCCAGCTGATTCTGGATAAACTTCAGCTAGATTTTTCTTGCATGTGGTACTAGTGATATTGTTTGATAATTTACACACACACACACACACACACACACACACACACCCTACAGTCTTCAAGTTAGACTCAAGTACATAAAAATTCGCTTCTCATTAAAGTAGGATACCTTATATTTTCTCACATCTGTAAGAAAATACTCACATACTGAATAGTTAAGTAGTAATACTAAGAAAATTGGCTATAAAAAGCACTTAAGATTCCTCCTGATGCCCTCAATGTAGGACTTTCTGAAAAAGGAGAAAACATAAAGAATTCATGTAACAATTACTACCAATCTCTCTACAACCTCTCCAGAATTTGTTTGCGTCCCTGTTGAACTTTGCTATTGTTACTGGGGTAAGATTAATATCTCATAGTTTATTTGATTTGTATCTCTCTAATAGCTAAGGATTTTGAACATTTCTTCATGAATCTGTTTGCCATTTCAGTGTCCTCTTTGATGAGTGCCTGTTCATATCCTGTGCCCATTTGGTGACTGGATTGTTTGCATTTTTCTTGTTGAGATTCTGAAGTATTCTATAAATTTTAGATATAAGGCCCTTACAGATATGTCATTGCCAAATATTTTTCCCCAGTCTGTAAGTTTCCTTCTTACCATGTTGGAGAAGTTGTTTGATGTGCAAAGTGATTTTAATCTTAGAAGGTCCTATGCATCTAATTTTTTTTCTTCTAGTTATAGGGTTTTCATTATGCTTAAGACTGTTCATGCTGTAGATTAGGGCTTCTAGAGTTCTTACTAGCTCTTCTCTGATGAATTTTATAGCCTTTGCTTTTATTTGTAGGTCCCTGATCCACTCTGAGTTGCTTTTTGTATAAGGCATGAGGTGTGGGTCTTGCTTAACTTTTCTGCAGATAGTTTTCCAATTATGCCAACACCATTGTTAAAGAGACTGTCCTTTCCCCACTTAAATAAGTCCATCTCCTTCTCAAAGATCAGTTGACCATAGGTGAATGAGCTGATTTCAGGTTTCTCAATTCTATTCCATTGACTTATGTGTCTGTTGCTGTACCAGTACCATGCTGTCTTGACCATCACAGCTGTATAGTAGGACTTGAGATCAGGGAGTATGATTCCAACTACCTTGTTTCTCTTTTTCAGGAGTGTTTTGCTTATTCAGGGTCTTTTCCCATAAAGTTAGAAATTGTCTTTTACATCTTGTTGAAGAATTGAATTGGTACCTGTCTTGGCACTGCTTTGAACTTGTAGATTGCCTTTGGTGGAATTGTCATCACTCACAATACTGAGTCTTCTTATCCAGGAGCATGATATATTTTTCCAATTCTCCAAATCTCTTTTTGTTTCTTGTAGTAATATTTTGTAGTTTTCTGTGTATAGCTCTTTTTATGTCTCTGGTTAGATTTATTCCCAAGTATTTCGTCTTGTGGTTAGCTATTTTTGAATTCTTATTCACTGCTAGTGGGAATGTTAAATGGGACAACCACTGTGGAATACAGTCTGGTGCTTTCTCATAAGTTGGAAATTGAAATACCATTTGACCAAGCAATTTCCTAGGTATACATCCTTAAAAAACCCAGAGCTGCCACCTAAACAGATATATGCACACCAATGTTTATAGTTGCATTTTTCACAACAGCAAGGAGATGGCAGCAAACCAAGTGCCCATCAATAAATGAAGGGATAGAAAAACTATGGTATAGTCACACAATGGAATACCATGCAGCACTGAAAAACAAGGGACTAACAAAATTTTACTGTCTCTGGAGGACATTATGCTGAGTAAAATATCTCAGTTACAAAAGGACAAACTGCATAAAACAGGACTGACACAGGGGTTAGGGGGAAACTGAGAAAAGAGGGGATAAATAATGAACATTGCATTGAAATAGATGAAGGAAACAGCTGTTTAAAAGAAATAGGTGATTAGACATAACCTGTATGACAGCAGACCAGAGTAAGAGATGCACAGAATTGGGGTGGGGGGAGGAAATTATGCAAAAATGAATTAACATTTGTTTTTTAAAGTGAACTGAAGGGGGTAGGGAGGAAAATGTGTAACAATGAATGAATAAAAATCCAAGTTTTCTGTAAACTTTCACTATAATCACAATAAAATCACAATGAAAACTCTCAGGGACAAAACCACATCATAAAAAATATATGAGCCCAACAAAATCTGAGAAGGAAGTAAGAGTATATAACCACATTATTTCAAGGTTAATTATACAATTAAACTTAGGGAATGTCATATCTGGTAGGCAGAACAGAAGGTTATTAAGATGTATCCTATTCTCTCTCCTTCCCCGTTTACAATGCTTATTTAGTCTGAGACTCTGTTTTAGTCCAACTATGCCCAAAGAGTAGCCTGGTAGACTCATGGGAAAGGTGCTGTGCTTTCAACCCAAAGGCAGGCAGGCTGGATATACCAGATGCTCCGTGAAAGAAAGATGAATAATCTCTTCCTGTGGGATTCATAGCCTCTGAAAATTCACTAGAGAGGCAGCTACAAGTTGGTTCTAAGTTTAGAACAATGTGTTTAATTGTTTTGCTTTACCATGTCTGATGTCGTTTCTGGATTCTGGGGTTTTTGTTTGTTTTGTGGTTGTTCCCCAACTACACTCAAAACAGTTATTGCATCATTACTCTTTAGGTTTTTCCATCTACCAGCCGTGTGACCTTGGGCAAGTTTTAAAATCATTCTGTGTCTCATTGTTCCTCTATAAAAAAGGGATAACTTAATGATCCCAAAGTGGAGGCACTGATGGGTCGTTGGTAGGATTCTACTTTGTTCCACTTTATGAGGTCATCCTGATTCGGGGGCTGACTTGATGGTAGCTGACAACAATATCATCTATCACGAAACGGTTATGAAGCTTCAGTGAACCAATAACAGAAACATTTAAAAGATTATCTGATTCACTTAATACCTTCTTGGGAGGTAAACAAACAAACAAACAAACAAAAAAACAAAAAAAACACCACACCAAAATATTCTATATATTCCTGTAAAAAATTAACTATTAAGAAAAAACAAAACTCATTTCTATTGAAATTCTTTCTATCCATTTTGCTAAATAGATTCCTATCTTGATTGGTAAAAACTTTCAATTACATTCATTTCATGTTCTTTGTTAAAAACTGGAACTAAGTGTTTCATTAAAATATATAAATGCTACCAAAGTACAAATACATCAGTAGACATGCTTATGGTATTGTGGTATTACCAACTACATGCTGCTCAGAAGTAGTGTTGTTCAAGAAAACGTTGATTTATTAGTGACATGGTTATATTAATATTTAGCTTCAACTTGAAGCAGCTAGAAAAGAATATGATCCATGCTAATACTTCAGGGGGATTATCTTGATGCTACGAATAATAAGGTCTAACAATTTTGAGGAAGTACTGGTGACCTAATGAGTAGGGAATTGCACAGCCAGCTCAGAGGCAAGTGGTACGAATCCACCAGCTGCTCTTAGGAAGAAAATGGGGAATCTCCTCACTCGTGATTTAGAGCCTTTGAAAATCTACCAGAGGGTCAGCTATGAGTTGGTTCTGACTCAAAGGCAATGACTGACTGACCAATTTTGAGCTGTGTGGATTCTAGGGTTTTTTTCCCTCAAATTGTTGTTGTTTATTGCTGTCAAGTCAAGCACAACTCATAGCGACCCTATGAACAAAAGGCCTGAAGCCTTTCTATAACTATCAACATTTATCAAAGTTCATAGAGTTTCCAGAGACATGTTGTTTAGGAAGTGGATGCCACTTCAGCTTCCCCCAAATTAGGTACAGTATAGGTCTCCCGGCCTAAATCTCTCAAGACGAGACTCTGGAACAGACAAATATACACTGAGAAGATTAGTTCTTGGCTTACATAAACTTAGAAAAGATTCTAGGGAATTAAAACAGAACAATAAAGATCATTAGAGGAAAGTGGGTTTTACTTTTTACAGCATAGTTTATTTATCATCTCTATTCATAGTTCTCTTTAGAGGCATTCATTTTAATCACTATTTTAAGATATCAACTTAACCAACACATTCTTCTCAGATTAAAACTGATTTTTCATACACTTCATAATTTTTGAAGGAAAAGATAAATAAGATATCAGTAAAACTTTATTTTATGTAATTTGGACTTCTGTAAAGAATAATTTTAAATCTTTCATTTATAAGAAGTGTGTAAGAAAAATTTGTGAATTTCCCATGCTTTTTACGACCAGTCACGGTTCTGTATAGTCTTTATCACAACTTGAAATCATATGTTAATTGTGAGTTTAATTGATGTTTATTCCACTGGTCACACATTCTGTAAGGCAAAAGACTATTGTCCACATTATTTGCTTGTATGCCTTTAGTATATACCATCTTATTGACTTAAAACCATTTACCCTAGTACTCCATTCGCTTAGCAAAGGAGTTTAGATTCAGTGGACCACCATTCCATTGGGGATTTCTCTGAAAACTAGAAAAGAAAGAATGTCTCATGTGGCCCCTCACCATCTCTCTTAATCTCCCCCCTTCCTTAATGCCCTTATCACACAGAATTAATACAGACTTCCCCAAAAGGAATGAACAAGGTGTCTAGTTTCTCCTATTCAAACAATACCATTTGATTTCCTTTGGTTTTAATTTCTAATTGGCATCAATAAATGGTTTACAAAACGATATATTACCACAGAATGCAAAGAAGTACTGGTCGGTACAAAGCTGAAAGTGTGTGAAGTTAATTCAGTAAACAATACAATAAACAACATAAATCACTTCTTTTAGGTTACAAATTGATAGGATACAAAACCCCCACATGAGTCAGTATATCTTAAAAGAAACCTATACATTTAAAAACAATAAATCATTGAAAGTCCTATTACTTTTTATTACACTTTTTTTCCAGTAAAAAGCCGGAAAGGAATACATACATGATGGTGTTAATGCCTGAGAGCTGTTGGAACATTTGTAGGCCACAACCCACAATTAAAGCTCGGCGAGTTGGGGGATAACTCAGCATTCTGCAGATCACAGGTCCAGCTTTTTTAAAAAACAAAAACAAAAACAACAAAAGGGGAGGGGGGAAAAAAGGATACATCTATTACTTTGAGCTCATATAGTAATTATTCCCATTAGGATTAATTTCCCCAAAGCTCTGTGAAATCAACATGACTGGGCATTTTAAAATAGAACAAATACACAATCACAGAAATGAGGCCAAATGCATTCTTTTAAAACAAACTTACATTGAGAGCTTAAATGGTAAATAAAGTCAACAAAAAAGATTTAAAGTTAAAGCAATTTGTGGACACTTTGAAGACCTGCATAACTGTAGCTGTCAGAAATTATTCTTCCTTAGATCCCTATGAACTATATTTATGAAACACTCTCTTTGTTCATTTCCTTGACAATTAATTATTATTTCAAATCCATTCCATGTGGGTCTGCTATAAAGTTACTTACTGCCAAAATTGCTTAATGAAACCAAAAGAATATCACTTATTTGAAAATAGAAGAAGAAACAGTAGCAACAGATAATTTCTAATTTATTTAACTAAATTTAAGGAATTTGGGCAGGTTATCAGATCTGATAAGGAGCTCTAATGGCCTAAGGATTAGAAAGTTGTGCTGTCAACTCAAAAGTGGGTAGTTCAAATCCATCAACCCTTCTACTCTCACAAGTGCTCCAATTTGGCCAATTTAAGATACAGGTTTACTTTACTCTAGCTGTAAAAGGCATACACATACTACATAGGATACTTCAGGCCATGTTGGAGCCTCTCAGAACCCATGTATTATATCTCTGTGGTTCAGTGGCTCTGGGACACCACGAAGATGCTAATTTCTTAATCAGAAACATTTTTCCAGGAGGTCAGGATTAGTTAGTAAACTGAAAACAAAGTCAAGAAATTAAAATCCAGGGAACTTCTAACTGTTCAGGAACCTTCTGGAAATTTAATATCCCAGTTCAAGAAAATAGAATGGAAAATGCTGTGGTTTTAGAATATAAATTAATAGAAACATCAATACCAGGAATTATTGAGAACTAAACATTATCCACTCATTCCGCGCCATCAAGTCAGAAATGACACTCAAAGTTGACCCTTCAGCTGGTTTTCAGAGGCTGTGAATTGCATGAGAAGAGAGTGTTCATTTTTCTCCTGCAGAGCAGCTGGGGGATTTAAACCAGCCACCTTTGAAATAGCAGCACAACTCCTTACCGACTAACTACATCATCAAAACATTATAGTGAAAAAAAAAAAACACACAAAAAAACCAACATTATAGTGGTGCAGATAGTCTTACTTTATATGGGCATGATTAAAATCACATGAAGATTTGCTCTACTGCATATAATCTGCATGTCTCTAAATGGCAAGACAGAATACAGATATATTTAGACGTGAGTTTCATGCAAAGTTGAACCCAGTCACAACTCATTTACAAAGCAGGACGAGGGTAACACAAATGTCAAATTGCCTTAGACTCAAGCAAAGCAGTATTAAAATCAAATTGGTCAGAAAGACTGTGGAGAACAGGTACATCAGGAGTTTTACAGTGACAACACTTTAATATAACTAGGTCAGTTACTTGAAAGTTGGGCAGTCTCATTGACAAATGCAGATATCAACAATGCACAAAAGAAAGCAAACACGGCATCACGTAGACAGTTACTAGTTTCCACAAATTACAACTTTATAAAAATAAAAGACCATTTAAAAGTTAATTTAAGCACCAACAATTATTTAAAAGAGAAATAAGAATGAAAATCCCATTTTTAGCACTGAGTAGCCTCAACAGAGACTGTCCTTTCCTCTGTCAAGAAGGAGACTATAATCGTTGTATAAGCTTCTACTTCTACTTTTAATCTCTTTCATTACTTGATAGACTTTGATTTTGGAAGACAGTTATGTAAAGGGAAAATGATAATAAACTAAGATGAAAGTTTAACTTGCCTAAATATCCAGAGATAAGCTTATTACATAAACATCAAGTATTTGATTTTTACAAAAAAAACTTTAATTTTGTTCTTAGTCTGAGTTTGACACCCCTGCTAAAATATATACAATGCTAGTTTCATTACTTGAGTTGTGTTTGGGTGTTGTTTTTTTTAAATGGATAAATTTTGGTCACAGTAGCTACACATCTCATTATACATAAACAAAATTAAAGAATTTCCTTTTATTAAAATAATAAACCAAGTTTAATTAGGCAGTAAAACTGACTTAACAAATGAAAATTATCATTAATATTTATATCACTGAAGCTATGAGGCAGAAGAGAGAAAAATCAAATATATTAATTGGCTAAATGTTCATAAATGAAAGCAAAAACGCTACACTGTACTCACCACATTTCTTTTGAAACATAAATATTTTATTTGTGCAATGGTTTATACATTTGTTGTTGTTGCTATTGTTATGTGCTATCAAATCGCCTGCATCTCACAGCAACCCTATGGACCTCAGCTTTGAACCTGATCTATCCTGAGCCAAACTTATTGTCCCTGACACACCTACACCCATACTCCAGTCACTAAATCAATCCCTTTCATCAAGGGTCTTCCTCTCTTGTGCTGTCCCTCCATCCTTCTGAGCATAATGTCCCTCTTCAAGGACTGTTTCCTCCTTGCAACCTGCCCAAAGTATGTAAAATAGAGCTTCAGAATCGTTGCCTCCAAAGAGCAGCCTGGTTTTACCCTCTTCAGGATGAATCTGTTCGTTCTCTTAGCCGTCAGTGGTATATCCAATGCTCTTCTCCAGCACCACAGTTCAAAAGTAATATATGATTGTGTATTACGGTTCCGACAAGAGTCCAGAAGGTTGAATAGTAGAGTATGCTCGGGGGGATGGGAGGATTGTATACCAATGAAAGAATTTTTCTTTTACTTTTCAAAGAGAAGAATGAACTGGGGTCGGGTGAGGGGCAGAGGGATGTGCAGAAAGAAAAATGCAACAATGAATGAATGGAAATCCAAAATCTCTGTAAACATTAATAAAATAAAATTTTTTAAAAAGCATCACTTCTCCTTCTATTGTCCCTAGTCTTTGTCCAGCTTTCCAATGCATAGCATGTAATGGCAAAGACCATGACAGTCTAACATTATTACTCTTCAGTACTCTGGAATTGTCCAATGCAATTCCTCTTTTAATTTCCAGGTTGCTGGTATCAAAAGTGTTTACTGTGAAGCCAAGCAAACTAAAGTTGTTACCAACTTTAATCTATTCTCTGTGTATTATGATGCTACCAATCAAACCAGTGGTAAAAATCTTTGGTTGGTTTTTGTTTTGTTTTGGGTTTGGTTTTTTTGTTTGTTTTTTTTTTATGTTGAGCTTCAATCCTTATTGAAGGCTGCATTCCTAGACCTACTGCAGCAAGTGTTTCCAGGTCCTCCTCAGTTTCAACAAGAAAGGTTGATGAGTCTTCCTCCAATCCAGATGCCACATTCCTTCCCATAGATAGAACCAAGCCTCCCGAATGGTTGGTTCTGCATATAGATTGAAAAGGTATGGAGATAGGATACCTCCATCCTTTCAAATGGTTGCACTTATCATATATAAAATTTTCCACACAATAAAAAGTAAAACATACAGACCCAGAGTAGACAGGACAGAACTGAAAATATAATCTATAAAGAAGACAACAGAAAATAAAAGGCATCGAGATCGGCAAGCAGACAGTTAAACTATCGCTATATGCAAATTATATGACAGTATACACAGAAAACTTCAAAGATTCAACAAAAAAACTAGACCTAGTAGGCCAATTAAGTAAAGTGACAGGATATAAGATCAATATTAAAAAATCGGTGGGATTCCTCTACAGTAACAAAGAGAACTCAGAGAAGAAAACCAACAAAGTAATACCATTTAAAATAGCCAATCACAAACTGAGATACTTGGGAATAAATCTAACTAGAGAAAACTACAAAAAGAAAACTACAGAACATTTCTAAAAGACACAATAAAAAAACTCAAAGAAAATGTACCCTGTTCACGGACAGGAAGACTATTGTGAAAATGACAATCAAACCAAAAGCAATCTACATGTTCAACACAGTCCCAATACAGATACCAAATTAATTGTTCGAGGACATTGAAAGGGAAATTGTAAAATTTATTTGCAGAGGCAAGAGACCCCGAATAAGCAAAACACTTCTGAGGAAGAAAGATGAAGTAGAGGCATAGCACTCCCTGAAAAAAAGTACTACACTTAGGTATAAACAAATCTGCCTGGTACTCGTACAAAGACAGGCACATAAACGGTAGAGCAGAACTGAGAACTCAGAAACAGATACACCTATCTATGGTCAGCTGATATTCTAGAAGGAAATAAAACCTATCAAACAGGAAATGAAAAGCTGTTCAACAAATGGTGCTGGCAAAACTGGACTTCCACCTGCAGAAAGCTGAAACAGAATCCACGTCTCATACCATACACAAAAATTAATTCAAGGTGGATCAGAGACATGGGAGTAAAGCAAAAACCATAAAGTTCATCAGAGACAAACTGGGATCAAGCTTACACAGTCTAGTCTATAGTACAAAGAGACTGCCAAACATAGCCAGAAATGCTCAATCTGGAGAGGATAAAATTGATAAATGGGACCTGCTAAAGATTAAATCCCTATGTTCATTAAAAACATTTTACAAGAGTGAAAAGTAAACCTATTAAATGAGGAAAAAAAATTTGGCAATACCATTTCAGACAAGGGTCTTATATCAAAAGTTTTCAGAATCGTACAGGGCCTCCACAGGAAAAAAGACTAATAACAAAATTTAAAAACTGGCAAAAGACATGAAAAGACTTTTTTACAAAGGAAGATATTCAGATGGCCAATATACACATGAAGAAATGTTCAAAATCACTGGCAATAGTAGAGATACAAATCAAAACCACAATGAGATGCCATATCACTCCTGAAGCAGTGGCAAAGATTAACAGGACAGCAAGTAATAAATGTTGGAGAAGTTGTGGCAAGACAGGAACTCTTACACTTTGTTGGGGGAGATTGTAAAATGGTACAAACACTCTGGAAC